TTACTCCGTTTGAGGTGTTGATTCTCGTGTTTTAGGCCGATTTCACGCTAGGTTGTGCTTGTTTATGATATTTCAGGTCCTAGTACGTGAATAGAGGCTTGGGAGCGAGTTTGGGGTCGATTGGACGAGGATCGGACGCATGGCGAGGTTCTGAGGAAGCTGCACGGGCACACATAAAGACCACACGCCGTGCAACTGACAACCCAGGCCGTGTGGGATTGTGCGAGAGCAAACACGGGCACAAGTGATTTTCACACGGCCGTGCACGAGAGCAAGGTGGCCGTGTGATTTTTGCCGAGGTCAAACACGGGCAGACTGGAATTCTCACACGGCCGTGCAACCCTGGCCGTGTGAGGTGGCTGAAGACCGAACTAATCCATACGCTGCGTTTCGGCTCGCACGGGCAAAATGGTGAGCCACACGGCCGTGTGGCCTGCCCGTGTGAGTCGGGAAATTCTGGTTTTTAAGGAGATTTCAGCCAAAACAGAGGGATTCGAGTTTTAGAGAGACAGAGCGGTTCCTAGAGAGAGAAAGCGACGAACAAGAGTCTCCAAGTGCCCTAGCTTGATCTTCATCACCATTGGAGCTTGGCTTGAGCTTGGAGAAGTGCCGATTCAACGTCCAGGAGCAGAAATCCATCTTCACAGTATGATTTCCGCGTCTGATTCTGCTTTTGCTTCTTTCTCTATGGAGTAGTTCCCCATTCATCTGGGTATGGGAACCCTAGATTTGTATGCTAGGTCTGATTGTATGAACCCAAGTACAGAGTTTGTGAATTGATTATATTCGATTGAGGTTTGAATGATTGAATGACTTGAATCCTGATCAAATTCCTGTTGTTTCTGCTTTAACCTAGAATGATAATATCTGCCTAGGTTGATAGAGTATCCTTAATCGAAGGTGGCGAATTGGTGACTTTAGTCGAGGAGCCAATTCGCTATTCTGTACCGAATTCATTCGGTAGTGGAGGTTTGGTTCGTTAGGGCCTCAATCTGTTTACTCCGGTGGAGGTTAGTCGCCCGCTAGAGACTCAGATTGAGAGGGTCTGAAGACCTTTAGTCGAGACTTCAGACTGTTTGAGAACCTTCCGCAGTATAACTATCATAGAAATGAACTTGGTAATTACAATCCGGCTTAACTGCAGTCTAGGGGGAACCATATCCGGGTGACCTCTCTTAACTGAAAACAACCGTTTATTGCTTTGCTTTTGTTAGTTTAGATCTTCACTAAAGTTTCATTGCTAGATAATACGAATTCACTGAGTAGTCATCACATCTAGGACCCGGGTTGACATAAAACCCAAACCCGCTATACTACGCTTTAGGAAGTGGTTACACTTGGCCATTTTCTAGAGTGACAGTAGGAGTGAGTCAAGTTTTTGGCGCCGTTGCCGGGGACGGCTAGGTTGTTGAAGAAAAGTGATTTCTGTTACTTTAGCATTTTCATTTTCGCATTGAGTGTTTTTCTTCTTTCCCACTTGTGCCTTCACGGGTTTGCATTGCTTGATTGTGTGCAGATAGTGCATGACCCGTAGCCAGTCGGGAGGTTTACTGCCGTTGGATCCAGAGATTGAACGCACCTGCCAACTTAGGAGACAACAGCGAGCTAGACTGGCTACGGTGAGCGCAGAGACGGCCAATTGAGCAGCGAGTCCGAGGACGAGTACGAGATGGAAGGCGATCACAACCCACCTCCAGAACCAGTTCCTGGGGAACGACCCCAATCCCCAGGCAGCTGGGGTCCATCATCATCCACCACCACCGGGTCCCACCTTGGAGTACTACTACACTCCGCGGATTGCTGACATCCGCCCGGTCATCCTCTATCCGCCATTCCAGCAAACAACTTCGAGATCAAGCCATGCTGGATTCAACTCATTACATCCTCTATCCAGTTCCATGGCTTGAAGGATGAGGAGCCCGGGCACATCTTTCCCGTTTTCTGCAGCTGACGAACGGGTTCAAGCTGAACGGTGTTCCGGATGACGCAATCCGCCTTCACCTCTTCCCCCATTCTCTGGCGGGGAATGCTAAGAGGTGGTTGGAGACCCAGCCCCCATGTCCATCACTCTTGGGACGATCTGGCTGACAAGTTCGTGCACAGGTACTATCCGGCATCGAAGACCACAGAGATTCAGCGGGAGATCACTCACTTCCGCCAAGAGCCAGATGAGTCCTTCGTGATGCATGGGAGCGGTACATGGGATACTTTCAGTGTCCCCATCATGGCTTCAGCGATGCTTCACAGTGGGGAACTTCTACAGTGCCCTCACCCCGACAGCCAGAGGGTGATCGAGTCTCTATGCCCAGGAGGGGATATTCTCACTAAGACTCCACCCGAGCTGAACCAGATGATCAGTACCTTGGCTGCCCGAGATCATTCCTGGGGGCAGAGCAGCAGAGGCAGACATCCCGGGACCGTGGTGTGCATGCTATGGAGGCCAGGTCCGGTTAGAGCAGCAGGTGGCTGAGTTGGTGCAGACATTGAAGCAGCCTAACAGTCTCCTTCCGGGCCGAGGTGTAGCTACGCCTCCAGTAGCTCAGTGTCAGTGGTGTGAGAGCCCGAATCACCGGTGGAGGACTGTCAGCTATGAGGGAGTCCTCTACTCCCCAAGAACAGGTGGACTTCATCGCCAATGCTCGGCGCCTGGACCCATACAGCAACACTACAATGAGGATGGCGCCAGCATCCCAACTTTCCTGGGCAGCAACACACCAAACCACCTGGTTTCCCAGCACCAGCAGGTGGTTTTCAGCAGAGGCAGCCCTTCCAGGCTAGGCAGGGGCCACCACCACAGCAGCCCTACCAGCCTAGGCAGGGCAGCCATTCCAGCAGCCCCACGCAGTATGCTGAGCCAGCAGCAGCCCCAGCTCCCGATAACAGATGACCGATCTGAAGAATATTTTGGCGGCATTCATGACCACCAGCCAGGCGAATTTCACGAGGGTGGACCAGAGCATAGCCTCTCTGGAGGCAGGACAGAGGAACCAGGGTGCTATTCTGCAAGATCTACAGCACCAAGTCGGTGCCCTAGCGCGCCAACTTACTGCCGGGCCCCGGGGACTCTACCTGCCACCACCATCCCCAATCCACGGGACCGCACGAGCAGCTGGATGCATCTTCACCAGGAGTGGCAGGCCCACATCGCTGATCCTGCCCCGACCAGGCAGGAGGAGCCACTACCTGCTTCCACTTGACGATGCAAAGTGCGGGTGAGAAGGAAGCCCCTGCTCCCAAGCCACAATCAGTGGTTAAGGAGCATGTACCCCAGCTTCCCTTCCCCACTCGCCTACACAAAGACAAGCTGGAGACTGAGTTTGCCAAGTTTATGGCAATGCTGAAGCAGCTCAACATCAGCGTACCTTTTGTGGAGGCACTGTCGAAGATGCCCAAGTACGCAAAGTTCATGAAAGATCTCTGCACCAACAAGAAGAAACTTGGGGATCTCTCGACAGTGCTGCTGAGCGAGGAGTGTTCTGCTGTCCTGCAGAACAAGCTGCCCGAGAAGCGCAAGGATCCAGGGAGTTTTACTATCCCTCTTACTATTGGCAGCATGCATATAGGAAAGTCCTTGGCGGACCTAGGCGCTAGCATTAATGTCATGCCATACAAATTGTTCAAGAAGCTAGACCTAGGTGAACTTAGCCCTACTAGGATGAGCATTCAGCTAGCTGACCGTTCCGTTGTGCATCCTAGGGGTATCATAGAGGATCTGCTTGTTAAAGTGGGTGCATTCACATATCCTGTATTTTGTTATTCTGGATATAAATGATGATGTGGATGTGCCTTTGATTTTAGGGAGACCATTTCTTGCCACCGCCAAGGCACTTATTGATGTGCATGATGGTAAACTGATCCTGAGTGCTGGGAATGAACAGGCTACTTTTTCTGTGACTGATTTCGATCACTGTGCTATGATTGCTGTCACACCTGTGCATGCCATTTCTGATCAGGTACACGAGTCTGTCGTGTATCTTTCTGCACCTCCCATTTTGCAGGACCCTCCTCTCACTCCTTCGCCGCCACTCCATCCAGCCTCGCCTCCGAACAAAAAGCTCAAGGAGGAGTGGCGGCCGAAGCAGCAGGTTGCTCAGCCTGCACGGAAGAAGGGTGGAGACCACTACGAGCTGGTCCCGCCCCCTGCACCACGACCACCCTGGCCATCCGAGTACTCACTCACTTGCATCCTGCCGGATGGCCAGGTCTAGCTGACCAATGCTGGTGGTTGCACCCGTCGGGTGCATGGCCACAACCTGAAGCTGTACCTCAAGAGCGACTTGGATCCGCTCTTGGGGGTACCTGTTCCAGCACCTCCCTGAGTATCCACCATGGGCGTCCAGCTAAAAGACGGCAAAGAAGCTCTTGTGGGGAGGCAACCCCACCACAGTTTGACTTTCTTTCTTGTGTTTTGAGTCGGATTGTAAACCAGTTTGGTTTTGGTTTGTTTTCCTTTGTTTTGGATGATGTCTTATTGGGCTGACATTGGACCTAACATATTGTGTTTGAGCTCTTCTGTTTCCCTTTAGCTGTGCTTTGTTCCAGACTGGTCCCTCTCTAGTCCGTTTCATGCCGACTGATCCATTTCCAGTCTCCTACAATCTGTGCACACCGGTAGGGGTGGGCATCCGGTTCGGTAAACCCGAACCGAACCGGACCGAAACCGAAATGTACCGAACCGAAACCGAAATATCCTTGTTCGGTTCGGAAATCGGAAGGCAAAACCCACTATTTCGGAAATCAGGGTCTGCTCAACCGAACCCGATTTCCGATTTCCGAACCGACCAACCGAATTTACACTCACAACCAAAGTCCACAATCCCCAAGCCCAAACAACCCAAGCCCACTACATTTATTTTCCCATTTCTCTAAAACCCTAGGCCCTGTTACTCACAACAATTGACGAATGAAGTCTTGGCGGCGGAACTTCAAGATCTGCGCCAGCTTCAAGGCCCTGATTCCTTCTTCATTCTCTCCCACACCCGACCCTCCTACCAAAAAATCTCTCAGCTCTGCTCCTTCCCCCACCCGAGCCCCCACCGGCGGAGTTCAAGATCTGCCAACTTCGACACCATCGCCCCCAAACCAAGATCTGCTTCATGCCATCGCTTCCTTCGAAGCTTCAACCAACTACAAACATGCAGCGCAAAATCGATGAGGAGTAGAGGCGAAGGAGAAAAACAAACAAAAAGTTCATGCATACTTAGATATTGAACCTTAATAACCTCTAACCTTCATTGCCGGAGTCGTCACAATCAGCGATGTCAATCGCCGTCGCCATCGCCGCTGGGTTGTTCTCTCCGTCAATCACCGTCGCCGTCGCCGTCGCCGCTAGGTTGTTCTCTCCGTCAATCGCAATCGCCACCAGTCCCTGAGTTCTTTTCTCCATCAATCGCCAGAGACGGGAGTCGGGAGGAGAAATCACCACTGCCCGCTGCTTTGTGCGCTGAGAATTGAGAGAGAAGAAGAAGAAAGAGTGAGAGAAGAAGAAAGAGTGAGAATTGGTTCTGTGTTTTCTTTGGTAGGTGGGGTGATAGGACAGGTGGGTGAAAGAGAGTAAGTGGGGAGAGAGAGGGTCTGCGTAGGTGGAAAATGGGGAGAGGGTTAGTGGTGGGGAGAGAGTCAGAGAGTTATTGTATGAAATTTCGGTTTTGGCCTCAAAACCGAGCCGAACCGAGATATATTTCGGTTCGGATGAACCGAACCGAAATATATTTCGGTTCGAATTCGGTTGGTTCCATGAGCTATTTCGGGGACCCGGTAATCATTAGTTCGGTTCGGTTTGAACCGAACCGACCGAATGCCCACCCCGACACACCGGTAACATCGTTCCCCTTTCCTTCCCTCTTCTCCATTGAGGGCAATGTCGATCTTAAGTGTGGGGGGATGTTTATCTTTTGACTGCATTAGATCTGTTTGTGTGCTTGGAGCCTAGTCCGCTGTCCAAACTTTTAAATTTGAGGGCTCCAAGTACGTGTTCCTTGCAATTGCCTGCTCAGTATGCTTTGAATTGACAGTCTCTGTAGTGATTTGCAACCTAGGGAGGTAGTGTAGCACTATGGAGGATGTTGATGCATTTAAGACGTCTCATTTCTTCTTCATACTGTGTTGGTTGATTGAGTGAATTAGTGATCTTAGGACCCTTGAATTGTGTGGTGTTGTGGACTCTCTACCTATCATGGACTCTTGTATCATGTTTTGGAAATAATAGGTGCTCAAAAATGTGCTTTAAAATAACGTCTCCCGTGCGAATAGGGCGAAAGTGTGTAAGGGGAGACGGGAATCCGTTCCCAATTTCCACCTACTACCTCCAGCCTCCTTACATGTCTTTCCCCCGCACGAGGCTCGAGACAACCGCTCCTGGCATGGCCGGTAAGAGCCGGGCTCCCGCAAAACCTTTGCTAGGTGGGAGCCCCCGTTTTATGAAAAAAAACAGGTTGGAACCCTTGAAAAAAAAAACAGAAAAACAAGCAAAAAGAAGAAAGAAAGGGGTTCCAACCATCTTCAAGAAGGGAATCGAGCACCTTGAAAAAATGTGAGTCCATGATCCTTTGTTCTTGAGAGTCTCGTCATCCACGATTCATTTGTCCTCTGTTCACTATTTACCATGATGCTGACTCGAGACTAGTGCTCTCGCCGAAGAAGCTATGAGATGACTTGTGCGTCGGTTGACCTCGTAAGCTGCTAAATGATCTAGGAAGTCCTCTACCTACGATCGAGGTTGTTTGTTGCTATAGAGGTCTGGAGAGTTGCATTGGTTTGAGTTAGGTTTGCTTGGGGACAAGCAAATGGTTAAGTGTGGGGGAGTTTGATAGACCGTTATTTACACATGTTCTTACCCCTGCTCTTACTCCGTTTGAGGTGTTGATTCTCGTGTTTTAGGCCGATTTCACGCTAGGTTGTGCTTGTTTATGATATTTCAGGTCCTAGTACGTGAATGGAGGCTTGGGAGCGAGTTTGGGGTCGATTGGACGAGGATCGGACGCATGGCGAGGTTCTGAGGAAGCTGCACGGGCACACATAAAGACCACACGGCCGTGCAACTGACAACCCAGGCCGTGTGGGATTGTGCGAGAGCAAACACGGGCACAAGTGATTTTCACACGGCCGTGCACGAGAGCAAGGTGGCCGTGTGATTTTTGCCGAGGTCAAACACGGGCAGACTGGAATTCTCACACGGCCGTGCAACCCTGGCCGTGTGAGGTGGCTGAAGACCGAACTAATCCATACGCTGCGTTTCGGCTCGCACGGGCAAAATGGTGAGCCACACGGCCGTGTGGCCTGCTCGTGTGAGTCGGGAAATTCTGGTTTTTAAGGAGATTTCAGCCAAAACAGAGGGGGATTCGAGTTTTAGAGAGACAGAGCGGTTCTAGAGAGAGAAAGCGACGAACAAGAGTCTCCAAGTGCCCTAGCTTGATCTTCATCACCATTGGAGCTTGGCTTGAGCTTGGAGAAGTGCCGATTCAACGTCCAGGAGCAGAAATCCATCTTCACAATATGATTTCCGCGTCTGATTCTGCTTTTGCTTCTTTCTCTATGGAGTAGTTCCCCCATTCATCTGGGTATGGGGAACCCTAGATTTGTATGCTAGGTCTGATTGTATGAACCCAAGTACAGAGTTTTTGAATTGATTATATTCGATTGAGGTTTGAATGATTGAATGACTTGAATCCTGATCAAATTCCTGTTGTTTCTGCTTTAACCTAGAATGAGAATATCTGCCTAGGTTGATAGAGTATCCTTAATCGAAGGTGGCGAATTGGTGACTTTAGCCGAGGAGCCAATTCGCTATTCTGTACCGAATCCCATTCGGTAGTGGAGGTTTGGTTCGTTAGGGCCTCAATCTGTTTATTCCGGTGGAGGTTAGTCGCCCGCTAGAGACTCAGATTGAGAGGGTATGAAGACCTTTAGTCGAGACTTCAGACTGTTTGAGAACCTTCCGCAGTATAACTATCATAGAAATTGAACTTGGTAATTACAATCCGGCTTAACTGCAGTCTAGGGGGAACCATATCCGGGTGACCTCTCTTAACCTGAAAAACAACCGTTTAGTTGCTTTGCTTGCTTGTTAGTTTAGATCTTCACTAAAGTTTCATTGCTAGATAATACGAATTCACTGAGTAGTCATCACATCTAGGACCCGGGTTGACAATAAAACCCAAACCCGCTATACTACGCTTTAGGAAGTGGTTACACTTGGCCATTTTCTAGAGTGACAGTAGGAGTGAGTCACTACTGCCAGCATCTCCTTTTCCGTGGTGGTGTAGTTCTCCTGGGCATCATTTAGGGTCTTTGAGGCGTAGTAGATTGGTCGGAAGTGCTGGTCTCGCCTCTGCCCCAAGACAGCTCCAACAGCAAAGTCACTGGCATCGCACATCAGCTCAAAGGGTAGGGACCAGTCAGGAACAACCATGATAGGAGCTTGGGTGAGCTTCTCCTTCAAGGTTGTGAAGGCCGTTATGCATGCATCAGTGAACTGGAAGGGGGCATCCTTCTCAAGAAGCTTAGTCAGGGGCAGGGCGATCTTCGAAAAATCACTACAACATTTTTGGTATATTATGACGGATGGATTTCGTCACATTAAGTACCTTCTTCGTCACATTAGGTTTATTGTGACAAATATGTTTGTCACAAAGTTTCGTTGCAAGAACCCCGTCGTAATAGGTATATTGTGACAAAATATTTTTCATCTTGTCACAACAACTTATCCCGTATTGTGACAAACATAAGGTGTCATAATAAGTATTTAATGTGACGAAATATCTTGTAGCAATAACTTGATATTTTGTCACAACAAAACACGATTTTGTCACGTAAAACATTATTCTCTGGTACTTATTGTGACGAAAATGTTTGTTATGACGATATTTTTTGTCACAATGTTTGCGTATTTGATATTTTGTTAATTTATTATGACAAATCACATCTGTCACAATTTGGGTAGGTTTGATGTGACAAATGGTTTTTCATATTTTGTTAGTCTAAATTAGGATTGACAGAACAAATAGTGACAAAAATAGATTCATCATTTGAGAGGTACCCAAGGAGCTGTTGGACATAAAAACAAGCTTCTTCATTCAAACCACAAAATGGCTAATATCTGTTGTTTGCCAAAAATCTGCTGCTACATAACAAGCATTACTAAACACCATTATCCGACACTTACACTTATAAACATTATCCGACACTTACACCTGATAAATATTAACGTTCCTAATAGTTTAGTACCCCAAAATCATGCAGCAACTCAAGCCAACTACTTGAATCCCAAAATCAGCAACCTCTGTCCAGCCCTCCTCACATGCCCTCCTCACATGCATCATCTCACCTGTAGATAACATGCATTAGTTCATCACCCCACATTCAGACTGTTGCATTAGTTCTGTTGTTATCTCTCGAAGGAGTTAGTAGATTACCTCCTTCAGTTGTTATTTCCAGCCATTCTAGCAGCCAAGTCACGAACAGTAGCTTCAAGACGGTGCTGCGATGCTTCCATCTCCTCAAACTTTGTGTCTTGAGTTTGTAGTTTCGACTGCTGAATTTCAATTTGCTCCTCAAATTGCTTGGTCCGCCTTTCAAAAGTCTCCCTTTCTGCCTGCCTTTCTAGCCTTTCGGCTTGCAATTCTCTCTCCAGCTGAATCTCTCTAGCCGATCGTCGTGCTTCCTTTCTAGATACCCTTGGCTTTTTCTTCAGCACCTTGTCAACAATCTCAGAACCTGGAACATTATTACCTGACTGACTGCTCAAGGCAGTCATATTGGCCTACAAGGAAAGAAACAACAACTCACTCAGTAATCAACATCCATACACGTGCATTCACACATGAAAGTATTCACACACATAGAGGCATACATAATTTTTCTCAGTATCTGGATGAACCCAGCTTCCATCACGCCTCTTATGAGTGTCAGCATACACAACCACCTCTGGAGGCGGCACAGTAGGGTTCTGCTGCTCTGCTGAGTCATTCTGCTGCTCACCGTTACTCGGCTCCACTCCATCATTAGTTTGCTCACTATTTGCCGTCTTCTCCTTCTCATTCTAATGTTAGAAAATAATCTCATAAGATTTACAAAATGGTATATCCAGTGAAACAACCACAAACATATGTTTTCGCTTACCAGTTCAAAAATCCTTTGACTAAGTGACTTAGCACCTGTTGTATGAGGATACAATACTTGGCTTCTATTGTCTACATTTATGTCACTTCGCTTCTGCATTATGAGGATATCATTCTGTATTTAGGAAATTGAATCCTAATATTCAATGTATTCAGGTAGGTTGTTTTAAGATTACCTTGAATTGCACACTATCAAAATGGTCGCAGAGTAGCTTCCAGTCATCAATGTTCACTTCCTCTATTGGATTCTCCCGAGCTTTCACCTTGTCCGTCTCATTCTAGGGTCAGCAGCAAACCAAGCATAGTCACTGTCGAATTTTTTCCATGTTTCTGCATCACCCGGGTGTCTAAGCACCTCATCGTCAACACGCTTCTCCTT